CTATCAGTTGTGGTTTACAGTTGGTGAAACTCAGTATATTAGGTCAAGTCTTTTAATTGATTTGATTGTTCAAATCAATGTCTTTACTTATCGTTTTCATGTCTTTTTTTGGTATCCATTATGAGAGGGATGTTAAAAACTTACTAAGATTTTGTATTTTTCTTTCTCATTATATTTCTACATTTTGTTTAATATCCTGATCCTGTATTATTATGTGCATTCAAGTTTAGAGGTGTTTTATCTTCCAGGTGAGTCAAATCTTTTAGAATTTCATAGTGACTGTTTTTGTCCCAAGTAATAATTTTTTCTTTAAAGTCTATTTTGTTCAATGTAAAGGTAGCTTTACCAGTACTTTCCTTTGGCTAGTATTTGAATGGTATAACCCTTTCCATATTTTCCCTTTCAACTCTTCTGTGTCCTTTTTTTTTTATTTCAATTAAAAAAAATTTTTTTGTTTATTTACTGTGAGAGAGAGACAGAAGTGTGAGCAGGGGAGGGGCAGAGAGAGAAGGAGACACAGAATCTGAAGGAGGCTCCAGGCTCTGAACTGTCAGCCCAGAGCCCAACGTGGGGCTTGAACTCACAAGCCACGAGATCATGACCTGAGCCGAAGTTGGATGCTTAACCACCTGAGCCACCCAGGTGCCCCTATTTTAATTTTTTTAAATATTTGTTTATTTTTTTGGGGGGGGAGGGGCAGAGAGAAAGAATCCAAAGCAGGCTCCAGGCTCTGAGCAGTCAGCACAGAACCTGATGCGGGGCTCAAACCCACAAGCTGTGAGATCATGACCTAAAGTTGGATGCTTATCTGACTGATCCACCCAATATGAATATGAATATTTATATTTTAGATATATATTTTGTAAATAACATATAGCTAGATTTTGTTTTCTAATTCAACATGGCACTCTTTGGTATTTAAAACACCCTGTGCATTTACATTTATTGTCATTACTCATATATAAAGATTTCTACCGTTTTACTTTGGGCAGTTACTTTGCCTGTTTCTTTTTCCTCCTTTCCTGTTTTCTTCTGGATTGATGAGTGTTTTCTATTAGGTATAGAATTCTAGATTTTTTTTTAATGTTTATTATTTTTGAGAGAGAGCGTGTGTGAGTGCACACACAGAGAGAGGGAGACAGAGGATCCAAAGCAGACTGTGTGATGACAGCAGAGAGCCCAATGTGGGGCTCAAACCCACTAACCGTGAGATCATGACCTGAGCCAAAGTCAGATACTCAACTGACTGAGCCACCCAGGTGTCCCCTAGATGTTTTACTATGTACAGTGACATAGTGAAAATCAGAGGACTCTTTTGTCATTTCCCCAGGTAGTTTGAGCTTGTGAAAGGCCATGTTTTTCTTTTTTTTTTTTTTTGTATCTTCATCAAGCACAGTGTTTTGTACATAGTCAATTCATAAAAATTGCATTTAATTACTTATGATGGTAAAGAGTAGTGGGCAAAAAAGGAATGTGACCTTTTTCCTTTTTGAAATTGTCTAAATCCATTTTTGTTTAGTATTCTGTAAACTATATCCAAGTGTTCTTTGCACAATGTTTCCTTAATTAAAAAAATTTGGGGAGGGAGCAAGCATTTTTTTCCATACGTGATATTAAATATCTATTGCCAGTGGGAAAAAAAATCTTCGATGAGGTTTTCCTCAAAACAAAGTATTAAATTACCACAGATAAAATCTCAAGTTTTTATCAGTGACCTTTCATTTAGAGAATGGAACATTAGCAAAGTACCATTTATGAACTTCCAAAAAAGACACTATCTGCTAACGTGTTATTTATGGATTCATGTAATAAACATAAAAACATGAACTGGGGGTGCCTGGCTGGCTCAGTCAGTACAACGTATGATTCCTGATCTCAGGGTTGTAAGTTTGAGCCCTATGTCAGGTGTAGAGATTATTTTAAAAAATAAAATCTTAAAAAAAATAATAAAAACATGGACTCGAGGGAAACTGGATTAAGGAAGAAAATGATCTGAAGATAACAAAATGTTAACATTTATTATTATGAGTGGTCAGTGTACAAGGATTTTGTGTGTCAAACTTCAGTTTTTTATTATTTTAGAAGTTTGTAAAACTGTGATTTTTAAAATGGAGGTTGCCATCTAGTGGACACATTTAAACAGAACTTTAAAAATCTTTTGGTGGTAAAGACAACAATGGAACAAATCTTTTAGATTCTTCAACACAGATAGAAAAGAAGGTCCATTCTTGTGGTTAAGACCACAAACTTTGGAATTGATCCACACCTAGGTATGAACCCTAGTTTTGTTGTATAGAGACTTTATTTTGTTTTTTGTAAATGGGATTAGTAACCTTGTATTTTTAATTTTTTTAAAAGTAAGCTGTATACCCAACACGGGGCTGGAACTGACAACCTCGAGATCAAGAGTTGCACGCCTCTTCTACTGAGCCAGCCAGGTGCCCCAAGACTACTATATTTTGTCTTTATTCTTTATTAAAAATTTTTTTTAATGTTTAGTTTTGAGAGACAGAGCACAAATGGGGGAGGGGCAGAGAGCGAGGGAGACACAGAATCTGAAGCAGGCTCCAGGCTCTGAGCTGTCAGCAGAGTCTGACATGGGGCTCGAACTCATGAGCTGTGAGACCATGACCTGCGCCGAGGTTGGACGCTCAACTGACTTGAGCCACCCAGGTGCCCCAAGATTATTTTCTATTGAATGGTTAGATATTATTAGGTTTGAGCCCCAGATCCCTAGTTATGAATACTCCTATAATCTTAGGCAAGTTAACAAGCTCACAGGATGAGCTAGAGATCTAAATTCCACAAGAGCTGTAGCACTGCCTTGTTCATCGCTCTTTCCCTAGTAAAGCCTTTAATAAATAGCTGAATAAATGAATGAATGGATGGCATTACTTTAATACAGTTCCTGGGTACGTTTACTAAGCTTGTTGCACTCAGTGAATAGTAGATATTAAGTAAATGGTATGACTGTGTATGTTGTGTATATAGCAAACCCTGAACTTGTAACAATCTATAACCTATTTACATAAGTTACCAGTTAAAAACTGTTATATATACTTATGGAAGGCAGCAAACTACTGTTATCTGTTAATTTTGAGGAAAAGGATCCCAATCATGAAATGATAAAAAGACTTGACCTCTAAGACCTGTTTGCTTCAAAGAAATTTAATACTGATAAAAGGCGATAGTTATCAGAATTGGTCTCTTAAAAAAATGAGTCCATTAAGCCTCTGACTCCTGATAGTGGCTCAGGTCATGAGTTCATGGGTTCCATCCTCACTGACAGCGCAGAGCCTGCTTGGGATTCTGGCACTCTCCCTCTCTCTCTGCCCCTCCCCAGATCACGTGTGTGTGCTCTCTCAAACTTTAAAAAAAAAAGGTTACGGGCACCTGGGTGGCTCAGTTGATTAAGCGTCCAACTTCAGCTCAGGGCATGATCTCACGGTTCATGGGTTCGAGCCCCACGTCGGGCTCTGTGCTGACAGCTCAGAGCCTGGAGCCTGCTTCAGATTCTGTGTCTCCCTCTCTCTCTGCCCCTCCCCCACTCATCTTCTGTCTCTGTCTCAGAAATAAACTATTTTAAAAAAAGGTTAAATGGCCTAAATCTCCTCCGAATGTCTGTCCCTCAAGACTCTTGCCAGGGGCACCTGGCTGGCTTAGTAGGGTGACTAAGGGAGCTCTGGGGGAGGGGCAGAGAGACAGGGAGACCCAGAATCTGAAGGAAGCTCCAGGCTCTGAGCTAGCTGTCAGCACAGAGCCCAACGCGGGGCAAGAACCCACGAACCGTGAGATCATAACCTGAGCCGAAGTCGGATGCTTAACCAACTGAGCCACCCAGGTGTCCCTACTCAAGACTTGTTGATGGTCAATATTTCCATCACTATAATAATAAATGGACAATATATGTAAAATAGACAATTGAGCCAATGAAATAATTTCACTAGTCTATTGAACTTTTGGAATCTAGTTTCAGGTTTGGACTGTAATCACTTTTAAAATTTCTTAAGTTCCTCACTGGCCTCAAGTTAAAAAAAAAACCTCTTGATAAAAAAAAAAAAAAAAAAAAAAAAAAAAAAAAACCTCTTGAGGGATGCCTGGATGGCTCAGTGGGTTAAGTGTTTGAAATAGCTTGGGTCATGATCTCACGGTTCATTGGTTCACGTCCCGTGTTGGGCTCTGTGCTGACAACTCAGAGCCTAGAGCCTGCTTTGGATTCTGTGTCTCCCTGTCTCTCTGCCCCTCCCCCAGAGCTTGTGCTCTGTCTCTGTCTCTCTCAAGAATAAACAAACATTAAAAACAACAAAAAAACCTCTTGAAACATAGTCTGGTATGCATTTACGGCCTCAGCAGTAGCTTGCTCATGCCTATTATGTATTGCTAGCCTCGGTAACTTGGTGTAGTGAAAGCAAGGCCCTACAGCAAAAGTCTGCAAGCCATTGCTAAGTTTAAATATTTGTGGATGTCACCTGTTAAGGCATTAAGAGCAAAAGGATCTCTACGGCAGCCAAGCGTAACAAATAATCTTTTAAAATCTTGTAAAATAGCCTATATATAACCTTTAAAATACCCCTGGTATAACACACTGACCCTGCTCACCTTCTTCAGGCCTAATGGCCGGAGGCTCTGGCTATATATCAAATAATAAGTGATATAAGTAATCCTATTGGTGATCAAACTTTTTTTCTTCTTTTCATAAACTGCTGCCAAATCAACAGTCTCATTTAAAAAAAATACTGTTAATGAAAATTTTTCATTAGGATTACACAAATTTGTCAACTGTGTTAAGCTTTCTACGTAACAGACTCCTTAACTGTAAACACTTGCCGAACAAGAAATTTAGCTACTTTTAGTTTATTATAATTGGTTCTGACTGAATCAAACATATAAAGATATCTCTCTTAAAACAGGCTGTGTAGACCAGAATTTAAAATTTATCCTCATTTTAAAACCAGAAGGGCCCTATAGTTAGTGTAATTAACAGAGTGGCCATCAGGAAGTTTGTTGATCACATAACAAGCAATATATTTTACATTCAGCAAACTTAATTTTATCAAATATCCTTTAATTTCACAGACAACAATATGATACGTATTGTGTAAGAAGCGCACAACAGTTCTGCAGTACAATTTCAAAGTGTATACACACTAGAATACAGAGGTTAGACACTGGGGTACAGATGGCATTCTTGACCTTTGGATAAACTGCATACAAAACTTGCAATTCAAATATTAGCCAATCTGGAAACTTTACTTCTCATAATATAAAAATGATACTTTGAGATGCAAAATATTTTTTTTTTTACTAAACTATATAAACATTTAAAATAATCATTAAAAACTCAACTTTAGAATTTATAAAGATTAGCTATAAAAATATATTGGCAGTCACTTTTCTTAGAAATGTACCATTCACTACATTACAAAATAGTCTCTAACATAAAATTGCCTTAATAACCATACTATTTTAGAATCTGATAAACCTTACATTAAACTGATTATAAAATCCTCTTGGAAAACTTTGGTATGCATCTTCAGAAGGTTTGTTAAAAATACTCTAATATCATCTCACAGGCCTGTAAACATTCCATTCTATTAAAGCACAACAGAATAGGTAATGTATATTCAACTGCATACAGAATATAGAATCAAAAAACAATTATATATTTGTAGAAAATCTCCATTCCCAGAGTAACCAAAAACCAAACTATTTAAAAGTATCAAACTTTTAAACAGAAGTTCTCTTTCCATTCTGATAAAAAATGTTACAAAATCACCATACTCCATTCATGTACCTTAGATGCCTTTGAGGACAAAGCCTCAAAAATAGTTAAACCCAAGTCTCAAAACCCCTCTCAAGTCCAAGAAACAAACTTTAAAAAACCCATTTCAATGATCTGACACTAGAACAAATATACGTAATCAAAACACATAATTTATATATTTATGTATTAGCTTTTCTATTTGTAATTTAGAATTTATTGGCAGAAATAAAACACATACACACGCGCGCGCACACACGCAAACAGGTGAAAAAGGTAAATTTTAGGAAATGGTACAAATGCAAACCAAAGGGGTAAATTGAAATCAATTTACCGAATATCACCTTCTCAGGCATTTTTGGGTTACTGTCATTTAGGAAACTCAAATTGGCGAGCGCTCACTGGCCCCTTCGTGAGTGGGTTTCATCTTTCCAGAGTTTCCAGCTGTGCCAGGGACTTCCTTGAGCTCATTTTCCACTTTATCTTCTGTCACCAGATCTCTTGCATATGATAATTATCTCTGAGTTGAAAAAGCCTAAATAAAAAGCTTCATTTGACCTTTTAATTTATAAAACTCCACTAAAAAGAAAAGAAATCCATCTAATTTTTAGGCAAGTCTGCAAAAAATATTTTCTTTCTTAATCAAACACTTTTATGGGAATAAAGATCCTTCAAAGTTTTTAACTCTTCTATTAGAGTTTTATTTTGATTTTCCAAGACTGCAACTCGATTTTCCAGGCATTTCACATATTCTTTCTTCTTTCTGCGACATTCTCGAGCAGCTTCTCTAAATATAAGCATTAAAAACCAATGTCAGAAGAAAGTTCACATTCCTTAAATGGTAAATGCACCTCAGTAATCCTGCCTGGTCACCTCTCTACATCTCTACTCGGCGGAATACATGGATCTTAAGTGCAGAATTCAATCAGTTTTGGCAAATGCACATACCTATATATAACTCCCACACTTACCAAGACACAGGACTTCTTTGTTGTCCCAGAAAGTTCCCTCGTGCCCATTCCTGGTCAGTCCTCACCCCCAAACAACTACTGTTCTGATTTTTATCACCACAGATGAAGCTTTTCCTATTCTAGAACCTCAACTAACAGAGTCACACAGTAGACGCCCTTGTGTCTGGTCTCCTTTCACTGTCTTTTTGAGGCTCATGGATGTTGCTTCGCGGCGGTCTGTTCCTTACTGTTGCTGAGTGTGTTCCATTGTGCGACCATCACCAGAGTCTGCTCATCTATTCTCCAGGGCTGTGTCTAGTTTTAGCTGCCATGCATGTTCTTATGCCAGTTTCTTTGTGAGCATATGTTCCAGTACCAAGGAGTGAAATTTATGGGTCCTCTGGCTAACTTCTGACACTGTTTCTTCAATTTTTATTTAGGTTTTAATTACAAACAGTGCTTGATACTCAGTTTTGTACATGTCCTCTTAGAATATTTCTGTGAAGTCACATACATGTATTACTTATGTAGAGAAGTATTATTTTGAGTATTTTCTATATTCTGTATAGGTATAATCTGCAGCTTGTTTTACACTGTCTTAATGTTTCCACATAGGCACAGATCTTTGCCATGTGAACACTTCATTGTTAATTCATTTTTATTTCCCCGTCTCCTAGTGAGATTGAACGTCTTTTCAAAAGCTTATTGGTCTTTTGGCTCTCTTATGGAAACTGCCTATTCATACCGTTTTTCTATTCATACCTTTTCCTGTTTTACAATGAGAAATTACAAAGACCAATGACCTAAGAACTCTGTGTGCATTATACATATTATCCTTTATCTGTTTCTATATTATTTCCTTTTTAAAAGTTTATTTTGAGAGATGAAGAGCGAGTGTGAGTGAGGGAGAGGGGGAGAGAGAGAGAACTTGGGCCCAAGCAAGCTCTGAGCTGTCAGGGTGAAGCCTGACACGGGGCTCAAATCCACAAATCATGAGATCATGACCTGAGCTGAGATCAAGAGTCGGAAGCTCAACCAGCCAAGGCCCCCAGGCACCCCTGTTTTTATATTATTTTCTATCATTTGACTTCTCATATTTTTGTATCCTATGCCATAAGTGCTTCTCTCTTAGTCTTTTTCTTGGCTTAGATTAAAATTCTATGCACTGTATATTTCTCTCAAAGATAATTTTTTTGCTTAATTTTTCACAATTAAGTCTTTAATCCATCTGGAATTAGTTTTGTATGTGATATAATATACAGGAGTTCAATTTAATTTTCTCTCAGATGTGGTGTTGTGTCAGATAACATGTATTAAATATGCTATCCTTTAGAAGTATTGTACTTAACTAGCATAAGAAGCTATTTCTGGGCTCTATCCTGTTTGCTAACGCTATTGTCTGCCTCTTTGCTGATACCAAATTTTGATTTACAGTGGCTTTAGAGAGTATGTTTTAATGTCTAATGGACAAGTAACCTCTTTCTGTTCTTGACCATTCTTGAACACTTTGTTCTTTCATGTAAACTCTTATCTTATTTTGTCCAATTCCATGGAAATCTATAGTTTGAATCCCATGAAATTTATATGTGTATTTTAGCGGTGCCTGGGTGGCTCAATCGACTAAATGTCTGACTCTTGGTTTTGGCTCAGGTCATGATGTCATGATTCATTGAGTTTGAGCCCCGAATGGAGCTCGGTGCTGATAGTACAGAGCCTGCTTGGGATTCTCTGTCTTCCTCTCTCTCTAGCTCTCTCAAAATAAACAAACAAATACGATCCTCTCCTATTGAACTTACTAAGTATTTTATGATTTTTCTGGTCACTAATGTGAATATTACTTCCCATTATTTTCAAGATAGTAATTCACAGTAGAAAAACTTACTAAATTTCCTTATAAATCACTATAATTAAAAAACATTATGAAATAGTATACACACAAAAGACTGTATGTGGTGTAGATATGTTATGAAACATAATAAAATGAACACATGTAAACCCAACACCTGATTTAATAAGAAAATATGATCTATACTGTTGAAGAGCCTTCTGTGCTATCTCCTGATTCCATACCCCTCTCTCGCCCAGAAGCAATTACTAGCTTCCATCTTTTACTTATTTTCAGTGTTAGTAATATTTATAGGCCTCTATTATATATAATTTAGCTTGCTTATATTCTAAAGCTTGTTTTAAAATAATGACACTTTATGTATTGTTACAACTTGTTTTCACTCAACTTTATTTTTCTAATACTTATTCCTGTTACAGTGATCAGTCAATACCCATGAACACTATCAGACTGTATAAATACAACACAATCTGTGTGTCCATTCTGTTACTATGACTATTTAGGTTGTTTCCTGATTTTTGCTGCTGTGAACATTTTTATGCATGCTTCCTGCAAAAGTCTCAGTCACATACCCAGAGTAAAACAGCTTAGTCACACAGCATATCCAGGTCAGCTGTACAAGATAAGGCCAATTAATCCGAAGGGGCTGTACCAACTTTCACTCCCATAAGCAGTCTAAGTTTCATTATTCCAAATTCTTGCCAATTCCTGGTTAGACTTTTAAGATTTTTGCCAACTGGATGGGGATGAATGGTAACTAAGTATGTGGTGTTAATATGCATTTCTTTGATTACTGATTGATAAGGGTGAATAATCCTTCATGATTATTAACCACTTGTGTTTTCTGAGAAATGCCTATTCATATATTTTGCCAATTTTTCTTCTGTTGGGCTGTACTTGATAATTTAGAAGACATTTCTATTTTTTCGAACAAATCTTTTATTTTTTTGTTAGCTATATTGCAAATATCTTCTGGAGGACTGGAGCTTGTATTTTCACTCTACAGATGAACAGAAATTATTAATTTTAATGAAGATTAATGAATCTTTTATGTTAATGTTTGTGGGATGGGTGTGCATTGTTTTCCTATTCCTGAAACCATATTATATATTTTCACCTAAAAGTTTGAAAATTTCACCTTTCACATTTGTGTTTTTAATCCTTCTGCAATGATTTTGTGTATGGTGTGAGGAAGAAATCCAATATTTTTTCATTTATCAATAACTATCCTAATACCATCTACTGAAGAGTCCCTCCTTCCCCTAATAATCTTTCATGTATCAGGGTGTCATGTGTCCATGGATTGGTTTCTGAGCTATTTAACTGGTCATTTTGTTTTTTTCTCAATGCCATGCCAGTATCGCATTATTTCAATTACCACAGCTGTAAGTAAAACTTGATATCTCCTCACCTTATTCTTGTCTGGAATATTTTGGCTGTTCTTGGCCCTTTACTCTTCTATAAATTTTAGTATCAACTTGTCAAGTTCTTCAAACAACCTGTTTGGGTTTTGATCGGAACTGCATTGAATCTATGGATCAATTGGGGGAAAAATAGTCATCTTTATAATACTGAGTTTCCATATCTATGGACATAGTATCTATTTCTCCATTTTATTTAGGTTTTCCTTAAGGTCTTTCAAAAACATTGCACATATTTTTCATAAGTGGCCTGGACATCTTTTGTTGTTAGATTTCTTCTAAAGTATTTTGTTGATAACATAAATGGTATCTTTTCAATAATTATTTACCAAACTACTGCTGATATAAAGAAATACAATTTTTTGAAAATTGGTGTTACATTTAGCAATGTTATAAATTCATTACTTCTAATAATTTTTCTGTAAGTCCATTTCAAAACAATAGACAATTATATAAAAAAATGGTAAGGATTTCTTTCCTTTAAATCCTCATAATACCCCCTGTTCTTTTCTTGTTTTACACTAAATAGTTAAAGGTTTGTTTCTAGTACACTGTTGGTTCCTTTCCAAGCTTTCAAATACTTTGTAGATGATTCTCGTGGATATTCTAAGCAGATGAATATATATTTACTACTAAGAGCGGTTTTTTTCTTTTCCAATTTTTATCATTTTTATAATCTCGACCTTTGATGATTTTCACGCATATTTTTTTTCAGCTTGTATTTATTTTCTGAGAGAGAGTGTAAGCAGGGGAGGAGCAGAGAGAGGGAGACAGAATCTGAAGCAGGCTCCTGTCAGCACAGAGCCCAACGTGGGGCTTGAACCCATGGACTGTGAGATCATGACCTGAGCTGAAATCGGACGCTTAACTGACAGAGCCACCCAGGCGCCCCGTGTTTTCTTTAAATATAGTAGACAGGTAACTGAAGGCTTTACAAAAGGTGTTCTGTTGTGTGCTCTTTCTGATGACTCTTGCTCCTGAAAGGTAGTATGGTATATTTGAATATCTAAGTCTTTGGACTCTGAAACCTGGACCCGTGTGTTTAAATCCTACCTCTACCACTTACTAAGTAGTTTAACCTTGGGCAAAGAAATTAACCCCTCTACACTTCAGTTTCTTCACCTAAGAAAAACTGAAAATAATATTATATACACCTCAAAGATTTTTGTGAAAATTACATAAAGGCTTGGCACATATGATGATGGAGGCCTAACTCCTTGGATAGTCTGTGATTTTTCAACTTGTATTTGTTAGAACTTGATGTATGGGAATCTGTTAGAGCCTGTGATAAAACTGCTTTCTTCCAAAAAGTTGGGGGCACTATGGACCCAGACCATTTTTAAATTACAGCTGACTCTTGAACAACACAAGTTTGAACTGTGTGAGTCTACTTATATGCAGATTTTTTTCTGATAAGTATAGTTCTATAAATGTATTTTCCTTATGATTTTTTTCATATTTTTCTTTTCTCTAGCTTACTTTATTGTAACAATACAGTATATACTACATATAAAATAGAAAATGTGTATTAATCGGCTATTTATGTTATCAGTTAAAGATTCTGGTCAACTAATTTTTGGGAGTCAAAAACTATATATAGATTTTCAAGTGTGGGGCGGGGCAGGGAGGGTCGGCACCCAACCCCTGCATTGTTCAAGGGTCAACTTTACTTGGGTCTTGACTTCATGAAGAATAATCCTCTCTGATCCAGTTGCAGCCTGCACAGACCCCAGGCTTTGTCCCTAGTCCCCCCTGCATACCAAAGCTCTACCAATCACAAAGATTTGAACTGATCTACAGATTATACAGGGGTTGCTTCAGTGCTTATTAACTTCATGGTCTTGTGCTTCTGATTCATTCCTAACTTCAAGAGCTATATCTTACTTGCCTGCAGGCTCATCCAGTCATTTAAAAGGGTGTTTTTCATATTTCATCAAGCTTTTAATAATATTACACAGCCGAGGTCATATGGTCAGAAACAGAAGTCTCATTCTAGAAATTCTTAACAAATCTTTTGGGTTCCCTAGGCACATAATCATATCAATAACAAAAATCACAATTCTTTTCTAGTATTCACCTAACTTACTTCAGTTCCTTGTCTTATTGCAATTGTCAGAACCTCCAGAACAACAGACAATCCTGCCATGTGACCAAGTTCATTCACGATGATGCTTACTCTCAGTTTTTAGTAAAGAAACATTTACCTTGAAGTAATTAAATGCCTCTCTCTGGTCTTTGTATGATAATTTTTATTGCTCTAGAAAATCATCCTTTTATTCTAATTTTCTAATTTACTGGTGAGGAGTTAAAAAATAGAATCCTACTGTAATTTTTAAAATATGTGTTTTATAGGTGGGTACCTACCCTTTTTGATTCCTAACATAGTTTTTATTAGTGTCCTTTCTCTTTTTTCCCTTGAACTCACTGCAGAAGGCTACCCATTATATTCTTTTTCTCAAAAACTGGTGGTTCTTCATGGCTGATGTATACACAGCTTATATAACTATGTTTAAAATACATTTTGAGTGAAAGTAAGTGTTGCTGGAGGTTAAATCACTGCTATATATTCATGGGTAAGACTCATTTTTAGCATTTCTGTGTCCATCAGTTTTTTTAGGAATTCTTTCCTCTTCTCGCTATCAATGGCAAGCAGCAAATTATTATTTTCATTTAACTTCTGTCAGCCCAACAAGAACAAAATATATTGTCTGAAAAGCTGTGCTAGTCAAAAGACACAATAAAAATGAAAGAACTCGAGGTCATATATTAAACAGAGTGTGCAGTGGGACCCATTGGAAATGAACTAGATACAACCTAAAACTCAGTAAAATAAAGTTGAGATAAACCTTTTTTTTTTTTTTTTTTTTTTAAACTAAGCTGTATGGCCATTGTGGGGCTCAAACTCACAACCCCAAGATAAAGCCATGTGCTCCACCGACTGAACTAGCCAAGCTAGCCAGGCACCCCAAATCTCTCATTTTTAATTCACAATTCCAGTTAACAGCTGGTTATGTTTCGAGATTTACAAAAACATTACCCATCCCGGCAGTACAATTTTACTACCTACCTGTTCTTCATCAACCTTATTTCTCTTTTCAGTTGGGGGTCATCTGTCTTAGTTGTCTGAGATGTAAGTGTCACAGGAGAGGTCATCACCACAGTCTGTGGCAGCGAAGTAGCTGAAGGTGTGGTGCGGATCTGATACGTCTGCATATCTCCTGATGCAGCTGTGTGGTCAGAAGAATGAGTTAATTCAGACATGTCTTTGAAAGAACATGGGGATGTTTACCACAGACACTTAGACATACTTACTTTGTACAACCACCTGGTTGCTGGGCACAAGTATTTGCTGTCCATCAGAGGTCTGTGCGTACTGGAGAATTGTTGTGCCTTGCTGAGTACTGCCTGAATTTGTCATGGTTAGTGTCTGAAGTCCCTGTACTCCATCTGTGCCTGGGCTGGCCAGTTGTAAGGCTCCATTTGGGGCAATGGCAACTTTAACCAAAGAGAGAACATAGCTATTGTAAGGCTATACGATACACTAATTGCAAAGGACTGGTGAAAAAAAAAAAACCCAACCACTATATATTAAAACAGGTTTGAGTGCAGTTCCACCTGGTAACTGTTAACTAGTCTGAGCGAACTATATGTAAAAAATAAAATGGCATTTCTCTATAAAATTTTATAGTTCAGATGCACTAATCTGAAATTTAGTCTCAAACTGTAGATCAGTCAAAACACATTTTGGGCTCACTGGAGCACTGCGTGCTAACTGCTAATGTTGTCACAGCAGTTCTGGGCCATTAGGAGAGGGTACCAATGGCTAACTTTTAAAGGGAAAATCAGTAGAAGGAAACATTAACACAGTTTGTAACTTTTATTCAAAAGAAGCATTAAAAAGATTATAAGCTTAAAAATATTTGTGAGTAGATTAAATGTGCCTATGCCTACAGAAAAAATTTTAATAGGATAAAAGGCTACATAATGAAAATATAAATCTTCATACTTTGTTTCTGAGCTCTACTGTCTAGTGGTAACCACTATTAAAATGTACTAAATGTTATTAAGTGATAATTTAAAAAATGTAATCTATTCAAGTCCCTTCCTAGTGAACGTCACCAATAAGGTTGTTGTGAGAAAGAGGTCATATTACTATGTGCCTCACCACATTTTTCAATGAATTATACTTTTTTGTTTATTTTGAGAGAGAGACAGATAGAGCAGGGAAGGGGCAGAGGGAGAGAGAACCCCGTGCAGGCTCTATGCTGCCAGCGCAGAGCCCAATGCGGGGCTCGATCTCACAAACTGTGAGATCATGACCTGAGCCAGACACTTAACCGACTGAGCCACCCAGGCACCCCTCAATGAATTTTACTTATGTTTATGCTTTCCTCTCAAACCTTAAATGAACACCCATAAGATATGACCTAATGGAAAACATTTTAGCATTATGCAATCCCATGTAATAAATCCCCTTCAGAATCTAATGCCTCATCTCTGTGCCCTCTTATCAGCTTATAATGCATGTTATATTCTGGGTATCAGGAAGCCAAAACACACTTGTCTGGGTGTATGTTTTAATTGAAAATATTTTTTTAGGAGTATGTAATTATCCCTCATCCGCTGCCAAACAGCAAACATTCCACATAATTTAATGTATATGACTTTAATGACAGTTAAGTTTTAGATGCAGAGATTTGTTTTAAACTTAGATTAGCAATTGTTTTTAATTGTCTTCCCTCCAACACATATTATGTATATACATATATATTAACGTAAATATATAAACAAAACAAGAAGTCCTATTCTTGATTCCGATTTATTCTACTGGCTGCCCCACACTTGGGGCAACCATTTTCAACCCCAGACATCCTCTTCTGAATGATTTTCCATGTTCGTATAGACGGATACATTAATACACATCAAAATGTGTATGCACACACACACGTATAGAGATACACTTTTTTTTTTTTAAATGTTTTTATTTATTTCTAGGAGAGAGAGAGAGACACAGCGTGAGGAGGGGAGGGTCAGAGAGAGAGAGGGAGTCACAGACTGAAACAGGCTCCAGGCTCTGAGCTGGCAGTCAGCACAGAGCCCGACGCGGGGCTCGAACCCATGAACCGCGAGACCATGACCTAAGCGAAAGTCGGACGCTTAACCGACTAAGCCACCCAGGCGCCCCAACAGATGCACTTTTTAAATGTTTATTATTTTTGAGAGGGCCAGAGAGAGACAGAGCCTGAGTGGGGGAGGGGCAGAGAGAGAGGGAGACACAGAACTCGAAGCAGGCTCCAAGCTCTCAACTGTCAGCACAGAGCCTAATGGGGGGCTTGAATTTACAAGACTGTGAGATCATGACCTGAGCTGAAGTCGGATGCTTACTGACTGAGCCACCCAGGCACCCCTAGAGATACATCTTTTGATGTTAAATATACGTAATAAATAATACAGAACTGTTTCCATTTTTATAACCTATCTTCCTATTTTTGATTAACGTGTATTTTCTGGTTGAGTCTACTCTAAATCTACACTAATGCAGTAGCCATTAGCCACATGGCGCTACTTAACTGAAACAATGTAAGAAATTCAGTTCCTCAGTCTCACCAGCCACATCTCAAGTGCTCAACAGTCACACATGGCTTAGTGGCTACTGTACTGGACAATGCAAATATAGAACATTTTCATCAAGGAAGTTCTACTGGATCAAGCTGCCTTAAACACCACTTTGAACTGTACTTATTTCAATTATATATGAAATATTTGCCTAAGTTTCTATGTAGTTTTCATAATTCTGAACTTTGTCTTAAAATAATCTGCCCTATTAGTATGTCATAATTTTTAACGTGCTAATATGCTGCTTTCAGAAAAAAACTTCTTAGGGGCACCTGGGTGGATCAGACAGTTAAATGTCCAACTTTAGCTCATGTCATGAACTCACAGTTGGTGGTTTTGAGCCCCATTTTGGGCTTTGTGCTGACAGCTCAGAGCCTGGAGCCTGCTTCAGATTTGGTGTCTCCCTCTCTCTCTGTCCCTCTCCTGCTAGTGCTCTGCCTTGCTCTCAAATAAAAACATTAAAAAAGATTTTAAAAAGTTTTTTTGAAAGCAGTAATTAATGGATGTGTATGGTTAAAAAAAATCAGTTTTACTTAAAATGAAAGTAAACTTCTCAACGTTCTCTGATCTTTACTCCCAGGTTTCCTTCCTTGCAACCATTGTTCTCAGTTTTTGTGTGTCCTCATTGAGGTGTTTTTTATGTGTTCTTTAAATAATTTATTCATAACAAATTTCACTGAAGGCCTACTATGCGCCAGGCCTGCTAGGCCAAGAACCCAGCTGTGAACAAGACAGTTCTTTCCCTCAGGGAACTTATCTTTGAGAATTGATCATAAATAAACAGATGTATAATTATATGTAATCTGTAATTAAATATGTACTTTTTAACAATTTCATATAAATAAAAATGTAAGAAAGTTAGCTAAAGAGAACATATTTTACAGAGTGGTCTCTTTGAGAAGTGACACCTGAGCAGAGCAGAAGTGAGGACGTAAAAGCCATATGAGGCTCTGGGAGAAGAATATGCCAGGCAGTGGGGGTGACAAGCCCAAGTATCTTGAGGCAGAAACAAGCTTCATATATCGGAAAGACACCAACAAAGTCTGTGTTGCCAGAATGCCAGACAGTGGCAGAGAAGACTGGAGTTTGGAAAGGGAGGCCAGATATTGAATGTAGCTTAGCCTTATCAGACTTACTCTAGGGATGATGGAGAGTCACTGGAGGGTTTGGAGCCAAAGTGGTGTGATCTAATTGACATTTTAAATAAATCGCTTTGGCTGCGGTATGGAAAACAATGAGAGCAAGAATGGCAGCAAAATGACCAAGCAGATGCGCACTGCAGTGATTCAGATGGGAGTACGAGCCAGGGTCACGGTGGTGACTGGAGACGTGAGAGGTGGGGGGATGGGACACAGATTTTGGGGCAAGGGTCAATTAGACTTGAGGAACAGGAGTTAGAAACGGAAGGAGAAATCCTCTACAAATGGACAGCACAAAGAATTCCAGGGGGTGATGAAGTTACATCTTGACTATGGTGGTTAGACGACTCCATGCATCTGTCAGAACTCCAAAGTAAGCGCAGCACTTACAAGCTGCATGACTCTAAGGACATCATCTAAGCTCTCGAAGGCTCAGTTTCCTCATAAATTGGTAACTGCCTTCCTCACAAAGCTGTTGTAAGGAGTAAATGAGATAATGCTGAAAAAGTATTTTGCATGATTTTTGGCTCAAAATGGTAACCTTCAATTAATTATCCTCTCTACTGAAGCATGACAGTCTTCTCCACACCCCTTCTTTAGATTTTGTGTATCCGTCACATAAAAATGTATTCCTATACGTACTGTACTGTCCACTGCTGGTTTGATAGATGGGAGTTGGAACAGACATAGAAGTGACAGCAGAAACTCCAGGGTTTTCTCCGTCTCCTTTTCTGCCACGTGTATCTTCAGAAGATAGATCTTTCAAAATTTTTCTGTGAAAAATAAAACTGTTAATGCCGGTAAATAGCTTTATAAAAACAAACTGCCAAAACTTTTTCAATCTCAGGTTAAAAGTACAATAATCTAGATATCGAAACCGTTTTGTCAAGGAACCCTTTAGTTGAGCACAGACTACTGTAATGATGTACTGCAGGCGAGTCATGATTTAAAGTTTATGGCTCCCTGAAAAGAGACACTGAATACTCACACAGAGTGCCTTTTAATGTACAAGGCCCTTATAGAGGTAGGAAGTGTCTCTTTCCCCCAGAAGAGAGAGGACTCTGTTGTAAGGTATTTCATTAATTAACAAGAACAGTATTCATTTTCTAAATAGTGACCTTTATTTAAAAAGACCAAATTTGGGTCACCTGGGTGACTCAGTTGGTTGTGTCCCACTTTGGCTCAGGTCATGATCTCAAGATTCAGGAGTTCCAGCCCCATGTTGGCCTTGCACTGACAGCTCAGAGCCTGGAGCCTGCTTCAGATTCTGTATCTCTCTCTATCTCTGCCCCTCCCCCACTCATGCTCTCTTTCTTGCTCTCAAAAATAAAAAGACCAAATTTATTTTTCCAACCTTCAACTCTATAGTGAGAAGCCCACAGTTTTAAGAAACCAGTAAGAAATAAGAATACTACTATAAAAAGCACACGCTACCAGTGATAAACTGTTTATGATTTTTAATATTTTTAGGTAATCTCTCAACCACCCTGAGGCTCAAACTCATAACGCAGAGATCAAGAGTTGCATGCTCCACTGACTGAGCAGCAGGTGCCCCAATAAAATTGTTTAACAGGGAAAAAAAAAAAATTGTTTAACAGGAAGTAAATATAATCCCACAGGTATTCCTCAGACTTGGTAAAATGGGGCTTATAACAAGGAATATGGGAATAGAAAAAGATTCTTTTAATGAAAGGAAAGAACTTCCAAAACACAATCGGGGGTGGAACAACAATTAAGCATTATTTCTTTCTAGAAGAAAAAGAAAAAAGGAATCTTAAGAATTCTATGTTCATTGTAAAAACAAAAAAGAGTCACAAAGGGGGAAAACAACCTTATCATTGAAAAGGATCTTATTTGTTATCTATGCCAACCATCCAGCCTATGCAGGAATGCCCTGGCATTCCTAACAGCCTCTATTTCCAGGAATAAGTCATCTACAACCTCCAAATAGCAAACCATTCAATCATTAAGCCCTTTCTTACTTAGACCAAAAGCTGGTTCTACCCAGTGAAAATTAAGCTTCAATTAAAGAAATTAATGCTATTAGCTATGGGCTTTTGGAGATGTACCTTATTAGGTTGAGGAGCTCCCCGCCCCCCTTTTTAAGTTTATTTATTTGAGAGAGTGTGCATGCACACGAGCAAAGAAGGGTCAGAGAAAGAATCCCAAACAGACTCCATGCTCAGCACGGAGCCTGTTGCAGGGCTCCATCCCATGAACTGAGACATCGTGATCTGAGCCAAAATCAAGAAACATTCAACTGACTGAGCTACCCAGGCACCCCCGAAAATCTCCCATCTATTTGTTTGATGAGCATTTTATCAAATGGATTTGTTTAAAAAAATGCTTTTTCTTGTGTCTGCTGATGTAATCATATATTTTTTGTTTTTATTCTATAAATATGAACAAAATTGATTTCCAGACGTTAAGCCAATTGTGCATTCCTGGTATAAATCCTATTTGTTCATCATGTATAACACCTTTTATATGTCACTGGATTTAGTTTGCTAAAGCTCATATTCTGCTAGGGATCTCTGTTTATATTCATTTATATTGGCTTAGAGTTTTATAATCTCTTAATTAATGAGTTGAAGCCATGTCTTAATTATTGTTGTCACTTGATCTACCAATTATTTGCTGTTTTTAAAAAAATTTTTTTTCAATTTATTTTTGAGAGAAGAGTAAGCAGGGGAGGGGCAGAGAAGGGGAAAATAGAGGATGTGAAGCACAGCTTCACATGTGCTGACAGCAGGGTGTCTGATGTGGGGCTCAAACTCACAAACCGTGAAATCATGACCTGAGCCACAGTCAGATGTTTAACCAACTGAGCCACATAGGAGCCTTGCTTTCTGTTTTAAAAAAAGACTTCTGGGCATGCCTGGCTAGCTCAGTTGATAGAGCATGAAACTTTTTTTTTTTTTTTAACCTTTATTTATTTTTGAGAGACAGAGACAGTATGTGAGCAGGGGAGGGGCAGAGAGAGAGGGAGACACAAATCTGAAGCAGGCTCCAGGCTCCAAGCTGTCAGCATAGAGCCTGATGCAGAGCTTGAACCCATAAACTGTGAAATTATGACCTGAGCCACCCAGGTGCCCCAGAACATGCAACTCTTGATCCTCAGGGTCAGGAGTTCAAGCCCCATACTGGGCATAGAGCTTACTTAAAAAAAAAAAAAAAAAAAAAAAAAAAAAAAAAAAATCAAAAGTCTTATGTATTCTTTTGGGTTATTTGAAGAGTTTTCAGAACTCCATTTTAATTTACCATATGTTTGACTAAATCTCTTCATATAATTTAGTAATTGCTCTAAGGGGCTATAATATAGAGACCTCAGCTACTTAGAATCACTGTTTTACCATGTCAAGTGAACCTTAGAAACCTTACCTCCAGAATGAGTCTCTTTATCTCTGCCCTTATGTTCGTCTGCATACACTAAAAGCCCCAGACAATGCCATATTTTCTTGTCAACCAAACATATTTTAAAGAATTCAATCGGAGAAAAGTTCATTATTCTTGCCCAGATCTTGCTGTTGCTGTTTCTTCATTCTTAAATTTCCAGGCTTTTGTCTGTCTTAAGAGCGTTCTTAGCAGTTACTTTAGAGCAAGTATGCTGTCAATGACTGCTCTTAGTTTTCCTTCATCTGAGAATATTTATTTCACCTCCTACTCCTGAGGGATATTTTCACTAGACAGAGAATTCTAAACTGACAATGCTTTTCTTTCAGCAATTTAAATATGTACTTCTCTTTGGGGCACCTGGGTGGCTCAGTTGGTTAAAGCGCTTGACTCTTGGTTTCAGTTCAGGTCATGATCTCCTGGTTTCTGGGTTCCAGCCCCTCAGGCTCTGTGCTGCAGTGTGGAGCCTGCTTAGGATTCCCTCTCTCTCTCCCTTTCTCTCTGCTCTTCCCCTAATTGCGTGTGCGCACGTGTGCTCTCTCTCTCTAAAAATAAACAAACTTAAAAAAAATGTATTTCATTTCCTTCTAGCCTTCTTGTTTTTGATCAGAAATCTGTAGTGATTCACACTGTTCCCTTTTAAGTAACGTGTGATTTTTCTCTGTGCACAAGATTTTTGTTTTTAGTTTTTACCAGTTTAATTATGACCTGTCTGGGGAGGGGTTTGTGTTTATATATATGGCTTAGTGTTTGCTGAGTTTTTCGAATCTGTGGGTTTCACCAAATTTGGAAACATTCCAAATATCTTTAAATATTTTTTTCGGCAACATACTTTTCCTAAGACTCGAATGACACAAATGTTAAAACCTTTGGTATTGTCTCCCAAGTCTCTGAAAATTAGTGAATTTTTCTCTATTGTTCAGATTGGATAATCTCCAATGAACTATCTTTGAAGCTATCTCCTTATCTTTATTTTCCTATTCAACCCATCCAGTGAGGTTTTATTTCTAAAATTTTTATTTGGATCTCTTTTTATAGCTTCTACTTTTTGCTAGGAGTTTGTCTTTCTATTCATTTTGAGAGAATTCACACTTGTTAGAATATTTTAATAGCAGCTCCTTTAAGTTTCTGTCACAGAATTCCAACATCTGTGTCATCTAGGTGACAGCATCTCCACTGACAGTCTTCCGGTGCCGAGTTAAGATTCTTCTGGGTTCTTTATATGCCAATTTGGGACATTTTCAATATTATGATATCAGACTCTGGATCTTGTGTAAATCCTATGGAGGAATTTTTATATATTCTTGTTTTAGCAGACTATCAACCTAGTTGTGCCAGGCCACAGATTCTGACCAGCATTCAGTGGACTCTGGTTCCAATGTCATTTCAGTTTTCAAAGCCTTTGCAGGGTTACTCAGATCTAGTCCATATGTACACCCTGTAATTACTACTTAGTCTGGGACTTGAGCCATGGTCTGTCCTATGTGTAGTTCAGTTCCCGTAGTCTATATATGCTAGCAAAGCCCATTTTTATTACTTATTTGCTAAAAATTTATGAGTAGGTGCTGAATTTTATCAAATGCTTTTCCTGCATTTATTGAGTTGATTATATATTATATGTATGGATTCTCACTTATGGTGGTTTATTTCCTTGTATGTTTATGATTTTTCACACTGAACTCATATTTGGTTGATCCTAATTTGGTGTAACATAGAAAGCTTAATGTGGGAAGCTTCCTTTCAGATGTTCTAGCTTCCTGCAGGGATCCCGGCTTAATACAGAAATCTCAGGTTCAGAGTCCCTTCCTGCAGCAGACCTAAAGCAATGAGTGTACTTTGGTTTTCATGCTTGCTTCAGCTTCCAGCTCATGTATTTGTACGGTTTAAAAGAAAACCACAGACCCAAAATGGCATCACTTAGGCTGAGTCCCGAAACCAGGGCTTAATACCTAATCTATAAACCTCCCCAAGAAATGTAGTCTTTAGTCAGTCAGAACTTTTCTTCGGATCAGTGCCAATGAGTGCCACACAGACCCTCTCCTTCCCCCAGAGGAGGCTGAGGTCATCTGCATCAAAAGAACCACTGCTCTTCCCACTAAGAAAAAGACACCCTGCTGGAACAATCCTTTTCTTTTGCTAAAATCTTCTTGCCCCATCTTCCTTCCTTTAAAAAGCTTCCATTTTGTACAGCTCCTTTGAGCTCCCCTCTACTTGCTAGATACAATCTGCCCTATTCAGGAATTATTTAATAAAGCCAGTGAGACCTTCAAATTTACACAGCTGAATTCTGTTTAACAGATTTGGTGGCTTCCGGATCAGAAACGAACTTCTGGCAGTATCTGGGGACAATGAAAAACACAGGCACAGAGCCCTGCAAAAC